GCATCTCCAAAACTAGCCACTTTGAACCCCGGGTGCTTCACCTGTCGCCTGACTCAAATTCAAAGAAGTATCCTCCTCCATCTACACAAACGAAGAATTGAAATCGCCAACTGATCCAAAAAGGTGAAAAATTTATCCCAGAAAATTATAACTTCCTGGGATATAAGAAAACCTGAGGAAAAAATTGATAATGGCTTTTCGGTTTTGATAGAAAAAGATAAAAGAGAACCTGAAGATTGGAAGGAAGAAGATAAGCGAAGGTTCTCGCTATCCGACGGTTGACCTCTGAGATTGCACATAATCATCTCAAATGAGATCCTTGCCATCTCTGCTAAACTTGGTCGCCAATTGGCTCCTGTGCTGGTCGAGCAATTGCTGGTCGTACTCTTTCAGAAGCTCTCTAGTCAGCTTCGAGCTAGAGACGATGACGTTCAGGTGGAACTGAGCCCACTCGGCAAAGTAGCAGAACCCGCCCCCTGAAGGTCGGTGCTTTGAATCTACCGTTGTAATTAGGGCTGACATAAGATTGGCGTGACCGCGCAGGCTTCTTTTTATGAGGATAATTAATATTAACTAGTGTACTGCCGATGCGCGGTGTACAAATTATTTCATAATTTTGTTGGGCGAAAAAATGATCATTAAATTTATTATAATGATTCTAAGTGTATTTGGATTATCTGTTAGATAAAATTAAATAGGAAAGGAATCGGATTACAATAGATTATGAGATAAAATGTATAGAACATAACATCATTATCCATACACACATACATAGCAAGTCAAATGGCAATAAGCACTACTAAAAAAACAACAAATTAGCAACAGAATTTAATGATGACATAAATTTTCATCGCTAATCAGTCACAAATTTGTCGCTAATTTACTAACAAAATTTAGCAACAAAACATTCCGTTGCTAAAAAATCACTCGCTAAACCGTTAGAAATAATTTTACTGATAGCATTTACAGACAGAACATTCTGTCACTAAAAAATCCACCACTATTCTATTGCTAAATCATCAGAAATAATTTAGTGATGAAAATTTTTGACAGAAAAGTCCATTGCTAATTTTCAGGATAAGTTATTCTCATTTTGTCATAGCATTTGTAACAAAAAATTCCATCCCAAACCTTTTCATCATAATTCAATAGCAAAAATGTTTTAAAATTTATTATATGATGTATAATATATATTTAATAATTTATTATTATGCCATAAATAAATAATTTAATGATTGTAATTTATTATTTTAAGATATTTAGATATTAATCATATTTATAATAATTTAAATTATATATTTAATTAATTTTTTGATAACATAGTAACATATCTAATTATTTTTTTAAATAAAAATATTAAAACATAAAATATTATATATTATAAAAATTATAATATAATATATAGTGATAATAAAATATTTTTTCATTTTAATATTAAATTTTCTACAGAAAATTTAATTTTTTAAAAATATAAAATAATATAAATAAGTATTAAATAAAAATTAATTTATTTTATTAATAAATAAAAATAATCTTAAATAAATATATTTAAATTATATATCCATTGATATATATACATATATACAAGTGGTTAAATATTATATATTTAATTTATCAATTAAAGACTAAAGATATCTTTCAGCTCAATTAGCAATAGGGTTGGATGTAAAAGTTCATGAAAGTGTGAAGTTATGGGTTCGAACTTGACCAAGGCACGTTTAAAGTTAATAATAATATATGAGGTCGCACTTGCCTACTAGGTAATGTGGCAATGGTGATTTTTTATGAAATTTTCATTTGTGATAGACTAGTGATAAAATGCATTCCATCATAGAATTGAAATACCTTATTCTTGTTTAGTGACAAAAATTTTCCATCAATTAGTGATGGGATTGCAATTCCGTCGCTAATTCTATAGCTTTGAAATCCTGTCACTAACATGTTTAGTGATGAAAAATCCACTGTTTTTTAGGGGAAGTCAGGTCTACATTTCAATCTCTATGGCAAAATTTGTTATCAGAAAAGAATCCTTCTACAACAAAATCATGATTCAACAATTTACTAATATATAGCGGTTCCTGGCTCTATGGAACATAGCATCATCATCCATACAACTTGTTTGGTGCAAGTGGCTATCGAGACAGTAATAAATCAGCTTATTGAAAGAGAAAAATTCCATAGTTGCTCTATATTCATGTCCCATCTGAATTCTATGACATGTCAAGCAAAGCTCAGAATAAACAGGGAATAGAGACTCAACTATTATGCACTAAACCAATAGTTAAATATTTCTAAGAATTTCTCATGCAGTCTCATAATAAGGCAATCAACCTCCCCCCCCCCCCCGCCCCAAAATCCCAGATTTGTCCCAAGGTCATATCTGGCATATGGATTTCTAATTTTTTTTATTACTCCCCCCCCCCCACAAAAACAAATTTGGACATGTAATAAGTAGGATTATAAAAGAGATTTGTGGAAAAATAAGTAAGGTCTGCATGTAATGTGACACACCTAGCTTAATTTATGCTGATTCAAATCACACAGTAAACACTGTCCATCCTTCTTCATTTGAAACAAATTTCAATTAAGTTAGAGAAGACAACAGTTTATACCATCCCAAGTGTCTATTTTCTAAATGAATAAATAAATGACACCAATAAGAGACACAAGACAAATAATTCTATTTATCCAAACTTCAGGGAAATTACAGCAAGAAAAGAAAAATGATATGGTCGTGATTTATACGCACACACATGAGATGCTATTTCAAAGAAAGGTCAACTAACAAACAATGAGTCATAGACAAAAACAGTAAATAACTATATACATTCAAATTTTGAATGTTATGAGGCTTAGAATATCTGAGAGTTCAGAAATCACATTCAGAGCATTGGCCACAAAGTAAGTTTATAAACCTTTTTGATAATTTATCAGCTTCATGTATTTTGCTTATTGATCATATTACTATAATTTATGAGAGATAGGAAAAAGAAAATATTTCCATAGAAAGGAACCTTTCATAATGTACTCAGGAAGTACCAACATAAACTAAAGCATAAGGTTCCAATAAAGAATCTCACAACATTTAAAAGAAGAAGAAGAAGAAGAAGAAGAGTGATCAAGAGAACATGAGGCACGAAAGTGTAATTCGTCAATTCAGAGACATCATTTTAAGCCCCTTTGACCAAAAGGATGGAAATTATAATATAATATACCTGTCCACCTGTGAAATTATAAATATTTAGAAATCGTATAAAGAATTTATTAACAGAAAAGAATGAGAACATCAGCATCACGATTTTCCGGGTACTTCTTATGTACAAATAGATTTATTTCTGAGTACTCTCAGTAATAAGCTTCCTTCTATAGGATCTAAATGTAATTTATCCTTTTATTCATGTTACTTGTTAACTTAATAAAGGAATTGATACCATACAATATTATCATGTAATAACATCGAGAAAATTTATCAAAATCATAACTTGATTTGTTATTTTAATAATATTATTTGTTTAGAACTTTAGTGTCTAATGAAATAGGCATGTTAATCACTTCTCTGTAAAATATAATTTCAATTCCTTATGTTGGGTTTTTTCAACAGGGCCTAATTTTGTTGCTTTATTTTTTTTTCAATTAATTAAGTAGATATAAATTTTATGCAAATATAATTTGAAAAATTGTGATGTTGAAAAATAATTCAAAAATTACATTAAGAATTGAATCAAATTGAAAGTCCAGCCAAACAAGACTTTTTTTATTTAGGGCTGGTTTGTTTAATATTAAAAATAAATAATTTTTAAATAAGTTGTAGGTTTTATAAAATATTAATTTATTTTATATTTGGTCTAATAATAAAAAAATTATTATTTAATAAATTTTAGATTTTATAATATCTTTGTGGATCTTTGCTCATAAAAAAATTCTTGTTTAAATATTTTAAAATTTAATAATATTTTAATATATCTTTGTATTTTTATGATATATTTTTTATTTACTGCATCATATTGTTTTCAAAAGTTAATTTCTCAAATTGATTAAAATATGTTTTTTAAATTCTAATTATTTTCAAAATTTTAAATAAAAATTATAAAATTTGAAAAATATTTTTTAAAAATAATAATTTTTTATTAAAAACTTAAATAAATGGGTCAGCTAAATGAAAGATGATAAAAACATATAATTAGTATATCAAAATTAAATATCTTTAGATTCTTATTTTAAAAAAATAAAATCCAGCTTGAATTAGATTTCATCAAAGAGAAATTAAAACGCACAAAAACTAATGAATAATTATTAAATCAAATAAATTTATGTTGAAATCTACCAAACATCATAATAAGTCAAAATTGAATACAAACAGTAATTCAACTTCAAATTTTTCAATATTTAATTAATTAAAAGATATTAAACGAAACAAGTGAGAATGAATGATGATAAGGAAAAATAACGTTTTTGTATATATTTAGATCGATATTATATACTACTATCTGTTATTGTAAAAAAAAAAAAAAACTATAACCTTTTCCGTCCAATTCAGTCTATTTAGACTTTTTATTCTTTTTTTTTTTTTGTTAATTGAATCCCAGTGACATCTTATCGTACCAGTTATCCCCAATACATACTGATTTAAAAAAATATATATTTTTTTGCTGAAATACTCTTCACACAAAATCAGAGACGTTGTATTTAACGGTAAACATCCGGAGAGACACGCCAACGTTGACCTTTAACCAAGTGACACTATCAGAAGCTCAGAACCCTATTCGGTGTACCATCAAACCTGGTAATGGAAGACAACGCGCAACCCTGTATTCCCAATGATATCATCATTAATATTCTCAAGAGACTTCCGGTGAAATCGTTAATCCGGTTTCAATGTGCTTGCAAAGATTGATAAAAAACCCTTCAAGACTCATTTTTTCATCCAAAACCACCTCCTCCATTCCAGTTATCAAAACTCTTCACTTCTCCGCTCATGGTACCATCCCATGTTGCGTTATATGCGCATTGGTCTACTGCATCGCGACAAGCAAGTCCTTGAAGATCAAAATTCTATCCTCCTCCGGATATTTCCTAGGATTGTTGGTTCCTACAATGGCTTGCTCTGTCTCGAAATCTTTGGAAAAGGTGTATATCCTCCTCTCCTTTTACTGTGGAATCCAGCGACTAGAGAAGCCAGGAAGGTTCTTCCCAAAATTATCTTTGATTTCCATTGCAATTACTATTTAGGATTTGGGTTCAGTCCAATTGATAATGATTACAAGATAGTGAGAGTTTATCTCTCTATGTTTGACGTTGTGGTTAAAACACTAGAAATCTATTCATCAAACTTGAGGTCATGGAAGGTAGTAGAATTTGAAAACTTGAAAGGCATACGTATTAGATGTCTCGAAAATGTAACTATTAATGGAGTTATGTTTTGGATTGGTGGAAAGCTAAATGATGATTATGATACAATACTTTCATTTGACCTATCAAAGGAAGTGTGTGCATTGATACCAGCACCTCATTTAAAATATAGCAATAAGAAAAGACTTGTCATCTATGAGAACAAGCTTGGTGTGGTTCTTTGTATTGTTGGGGAGAATAAATCTTATTCAGTTCATTTGTGGGTGATGGAGGAGAATACATGTTCATCTGGAGAGAGATGGAATTGGACTAAGATATATAGTAGCAGGCCCGGTCCAAGAGTGTCTAAACCAGCTGTTATTTGGAGGAATGCAATTGTATTTGATCCTTCCCATGAGGTTGAAGATGATGTTCACACTCAAAACTTTTATCAGCTCAATCTCACTACTAACAAGTTTGACAGTTTTGTTATTAGATGTGGCCATATCGTTAAAGTTTTTGATTACATGGAAAGTCTTGTATCAATTAGCAATGTCAATATTATTGAAGAACTTTGATCTAAATTTTTATTATTACATTACAAGTCTACTTTGTTTAAATTATACTCGTGGTGGAAAACGAATCTAGCTATATTAATAGTTTATATTTCAATCCTTCTTGCTCAGTTATGTGAAATGATTATGTAGATACTCAACTATCAGTTGTTTGTTAACCGATCTATAATTTCTAAGTCGTTTAGTTTTTTATGATGAAGTTTTCCAATCATGCTCAGAACTCAATCAATGTGGTTTGGACTGTGTGTTATGTGGATTTGGATTGAATCATAGAAATCATTTGGTTTGGTCGATTCTTTCTTTGAGAATTGATTGTGTTTCATGTTAGTGTTAAGAAATTTGGCTTTATGAAATTTTGCTTTTGGTTTATGGATAGCCATCTATTAGTCATAGGTGTATGCACATTATAGGTAATATTGTTTTTCAGAAACGAAAGGATGTTTAGGGCTTTAGATCAGAAAGTGATGATGATCCAATTTTCTTTGTTTTATTAACAATATAATATATCTAACGATTTGACACTTGACTGAGTACAGCGGTATGGTGCAATTTTTTTTAGGAGAAAGATTTAGATTATTAGGTTATGAGAATCTATCATAACTAAGGCATGCTTTTAAATTTAAAAAACACTAACTTACAAAGATATTTATAAATTACTCATCAATAAAGTTTTCACATCAATAGTAGGGCCTGATCTTACAATCTTATAAATTATGGATTAAATTTTTATCAATTAGATTAACTTTTATTAGTATAGTTAATTTATATATATATTCCCTCCGTCCAAATTATAAAACACTTTTAAAAAAATTTTATATATTAATAGAACTCATTATACTTTATAACTTTACTTTTTTAAGACAAAAATATAAACTATTAAAAATGTTCTTAATTTAATACTCGATTGATAAAAGAATATAAAAGAAAGAAAATATATGAAAAGTATAATATTAAAAAAATATTATTAATAAAAATTTATTTTTATCAAATTATCTTATATTTCAAAATGTTGAATCTTTATTTAAAATATTTTATAATTTAAGACAAAGGAAATAGTTAATTCGTCCTAACAAAATGAGGGTATTGTTAGTGTTATTGTTGTCCACGTGACCTCTTTAAAAGGATAGTCACGTGCCCCTATTCTCCATCCATAAAGGTCAAAAGTGCAACCAAAGAATGATTAAAAAAATGTATACCAAAAAATAAAAATGAATAAAAAAAGTACACATGAGTTTAATTTGAAATTATGGTCTCATGCATAATTACATCTTCTATCCTTTTTTACTAGGCAATCCTCAAGATGGGTATGAAAATATTATAAACTAATAGGACATGAGTACGTACGCAAAAGAATTTTTTTTTTTTTGGCATGAAAAAATAAGTTTTTATTTTGGTACAACCAAGTTGTTATTTACATATAATTAAGTTATTATTTTTCATAAAACCAAGTTGTACTTTATAGAGAAATAATTATTATTTACTTAAATCTAAGTCGTTATTATATACATATCCAAATTATTATTTTCTTGCAGAAAATTAAGTTGTCACTTATGTTAAACTAAGTTTTTATTTTCATCAAACCAAGTTTTCATATATGGGTTAAAATGTATTTTTATTCTTAAACTATTTTCAAAAAACACCTATTGTCTCAAACTATTTGACGTAGCAATTTTGTTCATAAAATAATTAAAATGCAGCATATTTTTTTATAATGTTAAATACTCCAATGTTGGTAATTAAAAATGTTAATTGGGACTTAAGTCTCACCAAAAATGCATGCCACTTGTTGTGTTAGGTAAATCCAAGTTAAGGTATATTTTTATCTTTAAATTATTTTGCGAAAAGCACTTAATATTCTAAAGTATTTATCATAACAATTTCTCCCCTAAAGTTATTAAAATAACACATTCCCGAACGTTCTTAAATAATTCAAATAAATTCTTTTTATGCCCTTCTTTATTTTTATTAATTAGAATATTATGTTTAATTTTAAATGTTTGAAAAAGAAGACATACAAGCTTTAATGATAAGTTGCAAAGAGAGAGAGAAAGAAACAACATGGCAATGGCGGAGAGAGCATTATTGGGTGGGACCTTTTTTTCAATTGGCAATTTCCATCATCTTTAATTACTCCCTCATTATGCATTCTTCCATCAATTAGCCCCATCTACCCATTCCTTCGCTGGTCGCTGACACTTGTCTAACAGTTAAAAATGTTATCTTCCCTCCCAATTTAAAGCTGGTAGATTGGATGGCCGAACTTATTTTTATTTTAATTAAATTAAAAGAAGAAGGATAGAAAGGAATTTACCTGAGTTATTTATGGATGTTTGGAAATATGTTATATTTTAATTACTTTAAGGATAAAATTGCTATACAATAAATGGTTTAGAATGCAAAGTGCTTATTGGAGAATAGTTTAAAAATAAAAATTCACCTTAACTCAGATCTACTTGGCACAACATGTGGCATTTTCTATTAAAATTAAGTCCCAACTAGCATTTTTAAAGGCCAATGTTGGGGTTTTTAACATCAGAGGGAAATATACTACATTTTAATTACTTTAGGGTGAAATGGCTACAACAAATTATTTAAGATATTGAATGCTCCTCAAAGAATAATTTAAGGGCAAAAATGCACATTAACCATTTATTTATCTATAACTAAATTATTATTTCCATACACTCAATTTTCCATTCACCAAAAAAAAAATCAAGTTATTTACTTAAACCAAAGTGTTATTAATGTAGGGAAAATAACAAAAAAAATCCATTTAAATTATATAAATGACATATTAGTCTTACGAAATGGCATAATTCCTTGGGAGTCCCAAGGGATGTTTCTGCCATTAGAGAATTATAGAAAATGACACTTTTATCCTTCATTCATATTAAAAAAATTTATAACTTTTCATTCACAACTTTTATTTATATATTAACAACTTTTTTTTAAATTTGTAATAATTTAATAGTCATTCGTAACTTCACATATGCAGTTTTTGATATGTATTAAGTGCTAAAAATTCACAACTTTTTATTTATAACTTTTGTACCTATATTAACAATTTTTGTTTCTAAATTTGTAATAATTCAATAATCATTTGCAACTTTAGAGATTTTTATTTTATTTGAGAGAAATTTGGTCATTACCTCTAATTTCCTAATGATAAAAAAATTTCATGGGACTCCAGAAAAATTATGCTATTTTGTGGGATCAATCTATCATTTACATAATTTAAATAAATTTTTTTGTCATTTTCCCATTAATGTATACCCAAATTGTTATTTTCTTATGGAAAAATTAATTCATGAGTCTTTATTGTTTTCCTCAATTTCACATTAAGTTCCTATATTTTTTTATTTAAATTAAATTTTTATAGTTTGATCCATTATACATGTCAATTCCTGAAAGCTAAAATCATTAACGATGAATGAATAATATTTCAAAAACAAAAACACCCTTAAAGTTTACAAAAAAATTGATTTAATACTTTTAGCAAAAATAAAATAAAATTTGATCTAATACATTATTTACATTTTTATTAATTTTTTAGCAAAATACAACTGTGGATCATTATACTTTTAGTGGGTTTTCATATTAGCTCTTATTTTTTTTTTCCCTTATTCCAAGTCCCTTAAGTTTTTATTTGTATGCAACATTAGTCTTTATCATCCCTAACAAAGTTAAATATGCTGATGTATATATGACTCTATTAATTTTGTTGCTGAGTTTGATAAAACTATATATGATGAGTGAACAAACGGGGCAAAGTAGCTATTAATATTTTTACATGTCTATCCAAGTTGTGATGTTTTCTCTCTTCTAAAGCTTCATTCATTTCACGTTTAAGGATACTAATTTAATGTCTTGCTTTTTTTTTTTCCTTGGCCTTTTGCTCAATTTTTATACAATGCAATGTCATTTCAATAACTGAGAATAATAAGCAATTGAGTTTATGTACATGTTAGCCATTGTTAAATCTTTATACTCATATTTAAAAATATAAAGATTAATATTTTAAACGAATGAAATTCAAAAGATAAGTAGCAGAAAAGTATAGGGACTAAACATCAGAACATTTTTTGCTAACAAATATCAAAAAAGTTAAAAGTATAGGGAGAAATAGTTATGTATCTCTTAAATTTTTTATGAAAATAATATATGTATAAAAATTATTTATTAGGCATAACATAATTATATAAATTTTGAATTGTAAAAATTATATATTCTTTTGATATTTTAAAGAAAAATACAAGGATTTTAACCTTCAAGATTAATAAATCTAACAGATCAAATTATATCAAGTCAAACAAAATAAATTCCAAGGACCTAATTTAATATTGAAGAAAACTATATGGACGTAACTAAGTGGTTATTCATACACCCAAATTGTAAGTTACAAAAAATCTCTTGAAGAGGAGAGCAAAATTTTATCCTTTCTTCGAAATCAAGAAATGACATTGTGCGGTGAGATCCCTCCAAAATGTATCGAATTGGTTTAACTTAATAACTCCCACTCATATATACAAATAATAAAAGAATATCATTTAAGTTAATTACTCTTAAGTTTTCGAGGACTCATCTAACATTTTCTTTTTCTTTTTTTTTTTTTTGCAAAATTACGTTGCTGACTCTTTGCAAAATAATAGAAAGCGTAACTGTTAAAATGTAAAGCCTGCGGAGCTTCTTCTTTTTGAACATCAATAATTAAATGTAGTATTTTAGTAAAAATAGAGAAAGAAGGGCATAAAAGAAATTTTCTTGAGTTATTTATGGATGTTCAAAAATATGCTACATTTTAATTACTTTTTTAGTAAAATTGCTACAATAAATAATTTATAAAAGTGGGTGCTACTTAGATAATAGTTTAGGAAAAAAAATGTACTTTAATTTAGATCCACCTAACATGAAAGGTGGCATTTTCAATCACATTTAAGTCTTAGATAACATTTTTAATGGTTAATGTTAAGGTACTTAATGTCAGGAAAAAAGATGTTAAATTT